CCAAGGGTAATATTTTATTTTATGTTTCAATCTTTTATTTATTTATTATGATCTATTCATAGATATTGATCTTTCCAATTTGGCACCTCCTGAGACAGAAGTCCCTGCTAATGGGTCTTCCCATTCTACTGGGGGTATTTTGTGTGGGCGTGCTGTTGGAAATTCGTTCAATATAGGTGACTCCATTTATGATGCGCCACAAGAGGTCAGACCCCTTTCTAATGGTCGCATTAACATCACAATCGTCCAACAACCTCCTTCTGATGTTGTTATCGACAATGCCACATCACATCTAAATGTCAAGTCCCCCTGTTTTGAGACATTGGGCCCACTTCTGAAAAAGGTGGCCAAGAGCTATTCCCCTGTTCGCAGTAAGTGTTTGACTATATATAAATATACAAAGTTTAATAAAGCTTCATCTCAGATCACAATTATCGTGTCTATATTTTGGATAAGAAGCAGTGGTCCATCATGGGCCATTACAATGTAGTAGTTGAGGATGATGAGGATGCTATTTGGGAGGAGGATGACATTGGTAAAGTTACACATATTCTTCTGGTATGTTTTATTGGCTATTCTTGGCTTAAATTTTATTTAAATTATGTCTAGGAAAACGACCATGAGCAAATGGTCGCTTCTGCGATTCCACCATCATTTCATCAGTGCTCTGTCTCTCTAGGCTCTCATTCAGGATCTGTTCCTCGCTCTTCGTCTGTTGCTTCTGATTCTCGTGGACAGTCTCGGGCATCATCTATTAGTAGATCTGAGGTGACTGGTCCTTCAAAGCTTTCTAGTGCCAACAAAGCACTTCTGTTAGAATATCTTGGGATTGACAGAGATCTTGCTTCTCTGGATAAGGTTGGGTTACAGTCAGCCTATCAGAAGTTTAAGGCTATCATCAATGCTACACCTAAAGTTATGGGCTTGAGCAAGGATGCTGAGTGGAAGTCGCAGTTTGATGATGGAGCTGCCTGGGTTCCCAACATTGTTGACTTTATCCATATCTTTATCGCTAAGACTCAGTTCTACCAAGTCTGGAAGCCTACATTCCTAAGAGCAGAGGAATATCCAGATATGCGAGACTGGCTTAATGAGGAGGAGGATTGCCTTGCTACTGAGGATTTGTGGGACTTAAGGAGCAGTCGAGTGCTGAGCTTTCCTGATTTGAAGAAATGGCTTGACAAAAAAGATCGTGAGGGAGAGTTGAAGAAGCGTGGTGATCTGAAGGGGAAGAGAAAAGCTCCAGACAGTCCCAAGAAGAATCGTGATAAAGATAAACATGTGGAGCAGAGAAAGCACAAGAAGTTGAAGCAGGCAAGGGTTAGGGATTTGGATGAGGAAGCTTCTGACACTGCGGGCCCTGGCTTATATATCCACTGGGAATAATGTGAAAAAATGGGGTAGATATTAATAATAATGCTACCTTTTAACTACCGGAATTAGTTGAAAGATATTTAAAATCTTTTATTTCATTTTATCAATTTTTTTTCGTCGGAATTATTAAGAATTACGTGGGTGGATAAACTTCGAAGATATTGGAAGAAGATATTTCTACTAAAGGCAATCCATATGTGCACAGAGAATATGTGGAAGATATGTGACACGAGGTGAAGAACTTCCCAATATAGCAGTATTCTCGGATCTAATTAAACACCTGCTTGATAAGGCTACATTCGCTGGACGTCAGCACTTGCTTCCATCTACGACCTCGTCGCAGCATACAACAGCAACCAAAGCTCAGCGTTCAACGTTCAACATTCAAAATGGACACAGGAACGCGCCCAGCAAGGAGATCCGCAGTTTCACCCAACGTGAGGACCACATTCTCTCTTATGCAAATTTTCAGCTAACAAAGCCTGCTTCAAATTTCGTTCCACTACCTACAAAAAAACCCGACAGACAGACAGAAGGGCGAGCAAGGTAACGATAATGCGATGCGAAGACTTTCAAAACCAACACGTGAACGCCGCCGGAAGGGGGCGGGATAGAGGGCAACGAACAGATACGCTACGGACAGCTGGCGTTTTGCGTTTACAAGCTAGGATAGGCTCGTGGTGAGTAATAAATGCACCCAGGCCAATGCTTGCAACCAGCCTGCGAGATTGCACTTTTCCGCCGGCTGACTTAAAATGGCTCTTAATCTGCACCTCTTGGCTGCGGCGAGCGTTGTAGGGTGAAGTTCAACATGAGCGGGGCCCCTTTGCGTTTGAAGTATGGATTCACAATTCTCAGGGAACAGCCAGTTTGTCCGTCAACATCTCCTCCGAAAACTCTCGCCGTAAAACTTTCTATTTCTTCGCTGCTACAACTCTCGAACTCGCATTCGACAGTTTGTATAGCATCCCACTTCTCTGATGGAAACAACAACCATAGCTCGATGTCAACCCTCCAGCGACCAAAAGGGAGTCTTGTCCAAGCTGTAATTTGAAACGAAACGAATGGATGAGCAAGAATCCTGATCAAAATCGAGCACTCACAAAAGATTTCTGCGAAGTACTCAGAACTATCCTCTACCCCCATCCCCATGCTTATTCGACTTTCCCTGACCTAACCCAACCTCGGCCCTATCTCGCCTCTCCTACAGCCCGGAGTCCTCATGCAGACGCCCACTACGCCCTAGCATTTCCACGGTTTTCCTTTCTCAGATAGACGGCCAATTATCTTTGTCAGCCATCTTTTTACGGAGTCGGAACTTCGACAAGCTGGTGGAGGTGAAGACGATATCTTTTAACGGTCAGCAAGCAACCTGTTGTGTTTGAGCCAATCTGATACCTTGATATAGGGGAGGGAATAGTTATGTCCCGGGAGGGAAGACATCCTTGGGCGATTGTTGTGCCCTTCGCTCTACCCGGTGAAAAGATTTGTGTGCATACCTACCGTCAAGGCCGCCTGCATTCATATGACGACTTGCCAGAGGTCATCACGCCAAATGCTGAGCGCAGAGACGACTCCAGAGTACTTTTTGTGCGTGGGTTTCCGTGACGTGCGCAGAAAAATTGACACTTACCTTTTCGGATTAGATGCTATCATACGATACTCGGCTAGATCTAAAGCGCGACGTTGTCGCTAAGGCATACCAAAACTACTTCAGTAAATAATCTCTCTACAGCTCTCATCATTTGGTACTAATGCTCAGAACAGAAATTCCTGAGCCGTCAATGCCGCGAATGCTATCTATGATACCCTTGCCCCTGCAGTACGCCTAACGTACCAAACTAACTCCTCACTTTGATACCCCCGAGGACGGTCGTGTATGTGAGCTGTAATGTGTAATGTGCACATGCAGGCTAGGGATGTTGGAAGTATTTTGAGGGTGACGGAGGGGAATCAGGAGGGGAGGGAATTCGAATATTGCTCGAATATGTGCATTGTATGTGCATGTCGACTCTTGAGTCTACCTTGATTTATTTTGCTCACTCATCCTTTCCTCTTATGTACCACCATCACCACTTTTGCAAATACAGACATGGAAACTACAGCAACCGCTGACAAGTTGGATTTACCGTTGAATGCGCAGATAAATAGAGACTCAGAGGAGGAGATTTGCTCTGGTGTGACAATTACGGATCTGTCACACGTCTCAGCAGCCACCAACGCCGACGTCCAAATCTCTTTCATCTCCAGAAATTTGCCCTCAATTCTCCCCCAATCACGCCTCTAAGGAGGGTTGAGAGTGATACAAAGGTCTCTTAACCGCGACCATACTTTTTTTGGGTCGAAACAACGCATTTTGGTGACAGCTCATGAGGATACCAAAACGTGTACTCGTTGAAGTCTCGGAGCAAGGGATTGATACAATAATGTGCGTGTTTAGATTATAGTTCGTAAGAGACGATGACGACTGATACGGGCGTACAGCACTATTTCACGAGTCATAGGAGGACGATACCTAGACGGTATCTTTCGCTTTCGCAGTCTCTGTTTTCGCTGTGGAGAACATCAAAAGCGAAATTCGCATCACCCCCTCCTTTCGAAGGTTCCGCTTACGAAAATACGGACATGGACACCACAGTAACCGCTACGAACGGGCATAATCACGACCCACCGCAATCAGAATCACAAACATAACCGCTCTCTTTCGATACAGACATTTTCTGGATGTATTTTCTCGCCCTCTTACCACCCGTCATTGGTGCTTTGCCACGAGTTGGACTCACTGTTCGATGACGAGCTTGATGAGCGTGTTGCTAGGTTTGCAGCTGAGTCTGGGGGAGTGGTGGATATCGTTAAAGTGAAGGACGAGGTAGAAGGTTTGTCGTTTTATTCATACCTTCGCA